CCCCCCCCCCCCCCCCCCCCCCCCCCCCCCCCCCCCCCCCGTGTTCCAGCCGACCCTGCGCTGAAAGGAGGGGTCCAGCGGGAGGAAAAAACTGTTGCTGGTTGCTAGTCAGGTGTTAAGAATCCCGGAAGAAACGAAAATTCATACAAAACACTCAAAAAGAAGTAAAGAAAGTGAACTCCCCTCGTTGGCATAGTGATCGATTTAAAATAACATGATTCTTTCCTTTCCTTTCTTTTTGTGGAATGAAGAAAACAAACAAAACTTCTAAGCCCTGTTAACCACCAGCTTTAAGAGAAAAGAATGAGCCCCGATTGACATCCGCTGGAGAGGGAGTCTGAGCCGCTGCCCTGCTCCAGACCTGGATGGGGGGCCTCAACCCCTCCACTTCTGGGTCCCTGCACCCCAAGGCTGAGCAACTTGAACTACATGTGCTTTCCCCAAATTTCGTCCGGGGGCTGGGCCCTGCAGAGAGCCCTCGACTAATTAGAGGCGTCCTGTCAGTCTTGACTTGGAATTGAAAGAAAATAATGCTGAAATATTTATGACTTTGACATTTACCGTCAGGCGTCTTTTAAAAGCGGAACTGTACAGTGGCAGAGAGGTCACCCAGGCACGCTGGTAGCTGTGCACCCCAGGAGGTAGGAGACACATACACACACAAGCACTTAATGCCAAGTTCCAGATGCAGGAAAAGTATGGTTTTCAAAAATAATCAGGAATAATTAAGTCAACTTTATATCAGGTTAGATGTATCCTGACAGTACACTGCGGTATAACATTGCATACTTCTCCCACTCAACCTCTGCCACCTGCAACTCCTTGAATTTAGAATGTAAAATACTGCCGAAGCTGTGACTTAAGATAAATGTGACCACAGAGACAATTTGCGGAATTGCTCTTAGGAATTAGAAACTACAGACGTTGTCCTGACCTATTTAAACTATTTTGATCTGTGCTCGTAAGTGAAGGTGCATGGGGCTTTCTTTACATTATCTTCTGAGCCATTTATGGCAAAATATCTTCAAAACTTTTTTTCTTTAGCTGTCCATGTGGTAAGCTTAAAAGAAAAGAGAGAGAGAAAAAAGAGAGAACATTTTATGCCCTGACTTGGTTTGGAGAACTAAGGCAGCCACACAAACACAAAACTTCACGGTAACAAATATTTGGGGACCGTAGCAACAGTGAGCAATTTCCAAGCCTGTGAACCGTGAACAACAGCACCCCATGCCCAAGCCACTGACTTCAATTTTAAAACACACTTGCATCCAAAACTTATGGTCACAGGCATTTAATTTCATTACTGTGAAACTTCTAATCTGTGCATGTTTCATTTGTTTCCTTCCAAGGACTTGGTTTTGCAAACCCAGCTTCACCCTGTGCCCCTTGACCTGTGACTGCCCCAATCCCCTTGCCTGTAAAATTTAGAATTCGATTTTAGAGACTATTAATGAGTTGCTTTAATGAATCTGTCTTTGCTTTCCCAGATGAAAAATTTTAGAATTATTTGGAAATTTTGTGCTCGATTTACTAAAATGGACTTACTAAAATGTGGTAACTATGTAAAGCCGCTCAAAAATGTTCATAGTTTTCAGGCTATGGGAATGACCAAACTTAAAAATATGGGGGAGGGTGGTGTCTTAAAATATTTTAAAAGTATTTTTTTAAAGCTGTTAACTGAACTATTTTTAATTTGGAATTTGC